TTATTTCTACTATCCAGAAATTCTTACTAGTGAATGTAAAAAGTCCTTTGGGATAAACTATTCTTCATATAGAAGGATTTAAATTGTGTTTAAAATAGGCAAATAGTATATTGATTGCTTTTTCTGAAGTCCTGAATTTTGTGTATTACTAAGTCATGTTTATTTCTGTTATTTAACACATACTACATTACTGTAAGGTTAGTCTTTCAAAGGAGTACATCATGGCATATTTGTTTAAGAAATTATCATTACCAGCTGGTTTCTTTTAATGGCTTCACATCTGAGTCCTGCTTTGCCTCAGTGCCTTTTGTAATTTGCTTGAGTCCTGCTAGTCTTTCTGCCAAACTACCTAGTATTTAGACCAGCAAATACTTAACTGAATATATGCAATGTATGGTATGTTTTATGACAGAAGTTTGAAATACTGTGGTGATGCTAATATGATTTGCTTCAAGCAAAGTCTTAGACCTACTAAAACAGTATAGTGGCTTTCAATTTTTGTTTGACATATAAAAATGTGCTTTATGAGTGAGTCAGATACCATGAATAGTTTTGCTGTTGGTGACATATTTCAAGATACCAAGCAAGTTTTTAAAAAATAAGATTCTGGGCTTTCTGGAATAGCTTTCTTTCTGGAAAAATCTGTGTATTTTATTTTACTTTTAAACTTTTTTCTAGTTTTGTACAAATTTATGGGCTACGTGTGCAATTTTGTTACATGCATAAATTACTTAGTGGTCAAGTTAGGGCTTTTAGGCCACCCTTCTCTGGATTAATGTACATTGTACCCGTTACTCCTTTCCCATAATCCACCCTCCTCACTGGACTCTCCATTACCATTCTGCTCTCTATGACTGTGGTTTTACACTTTTTAGCACCCAGTGGTGAGTGAGACATGGGATATTTGACTTTCTGTGCCTGGCTTATTTCACTTACGAGAACCTGCATTTTCCTCTCTGTTGCTGGAAGAGACATAGCATGTGGCAGTCACGTTGTTTCCTAACGACATGTCTATCGTAGAGACCACACTGCAAACACAGGGAGTTTCCTTCTACTCACTGCATGCCCAGGGAACTTTGGGGTGTCTAAAATGAAACTACCTGGCATCGCTTCTGACCTCAGGACCCTAAAACTAAAGCTGCTTACTTGCTTCTCTTAAGTAAGACATCTTGCTGGACCGATGACTAATCAGCCCACAAGTACACAGAACTGTGGTAACATGCATTTGGTTATCTTTTTAAATTTTTTATGTCTGAATGGCATCTATTGTGTATGTATGGGATTTTCTTTCTTTCTTTCTTTCTTTTTTTTTAGAGGCAGAATCTCACTTTGTTTAGGAGAGTGCAGTGGCATCACAGCTCACAGCAACCTCTAACTCCTGGGCTTAGGCGATTCTCTTGCCTCAACCTCCTGAGTAGCTGGGACTACAGGTGCCCGCCACCATGCCTGGCTATTTTTTTGTTGCAGTTTGGCTGGGCCAGGTTCAAACCCGCCACCCTCAGTATATGGGGCTGGCGCCTTACTCACTGAGCCATTGACACTGCCCAGAATTTTCTTTTATCTGTTCACTCCTCGATGGGCACTGAGGTTGATTCCATGTCTTGGCTGTTGGGAGTAGTGCTGCAGTAAGCATGGGAGTGCAGATGTCTGTTTAATACACTGATCTCCTTTCTCTTAGCTACATACCAGGTTGGGGGATTGCAGGATCAAAGGGCAGCTCTGTTTCTGGTTCCTTGAGAAATCTCCATACTGTTTTCCATGAAGGCTGCACTATTTCCCTTCCCAACGACAGTACATGAGTGTTCTCCTTTCTTAGCACTCTCACCTGCATGCTGTTTCGTCTTTTTAATAATAGCCATACTGACGGGCCTAAGATGATATCTCAGTGGTTTTAATTTGCATTCTTCTGATGATTAGTGATGTTGAGAATTTTTCATAACCTGTCAACCATTTGTATGTCTTCTTTTGAAAGAATATTCTCTTTTGCCCACTTCTTATTCTTACTTTTTTTGAGACAGAGTCTACACTTTGTTGCCCTTAGTAGAGTGCTGTGGCATCATAGCTCATAGCAACCTCAAAATATTGGGCTCAGGCTATCCCTTTGCCTCCCAAGTAGCTGGGACTACAGGTGCCCATCACAATGCCAGGCTGTTTTTAGAGACAGGGTCTCACTCTTGCTCAGGCTGGTCTGGAACTCATGAGCTCAGGCAATCCACCTGCCTTGGCCTCCGATTATAAGCATGAGCTGCTACACCTGGCCTTGCCTACTTTTCAATAGATCATTTTTTGGTTATTGTTGAGTTGTTCAAGTTTCTTGTGCATTCTGGGTATTAGTCCCCTGTTGCACGGTTAGGTTTTTAATATTGTCTCACATTCTAAGGTGGTCTGTTCACTCTGTTGATTCTTTTTGTTGTGCAGAAGCTTTTTAGTTTAAGTCCCATTTGTCTATTTTTGGTTTTATTATCTGTGCTTGTGAGGTCTTAATCATAAATTCTTAGCCTAAGCCAAAGCCCAGAAGAGTTTTTCCTAAATTTTTTCTATTATTTATATAGTTTTAGGTATTAAGTCTTTAAGTTATACATATACTATCTGTGTTTTAGTTTATATTTATTGTTATTGAAAATTTTCTAACTGGCTGTTGATGCTACTTTGGGAAGCTATTTTTCGCATACTTACCGGAAAAAACCTTCTTAAGGAACTCTTAAAATTCTAAAATATTTCAAGGTTTTTTTTTTTTTTTGATAAAATAATGGCAATGGTCATTTTAATTCCTTCCTAATACTGAACTCTCTTACCTTTTTACTGAGTTGTATCCGCTAGCACTTGCAGAATGATGTTAAATGTTCTGTTGGTAGTAGACATCAGACTCTTGAATGTGATTTTGCTTTTCGAGTTTGTTTGCATTTTGTCATTAAACATGATGCTGTCTATTGGTTTGACGTTTTTAAGAGATTCTTTTTCTACTACGACTAATTTTCTTTTATGCTGCATTTCTTTCATTGACTGTGTTTTCCACCTAGAATGTATCATTTTTCATAGGATCAAATTGCCTACTGTGTTGTTTAGTCTTCTCACTTTTGGTTCCTGGTCCTCTTAGTCTGTACTGTGAATTGCTATACCTAGGTTCATTTTTCAAAAGGAATTTTTATTGTTGTCATACTTGTATTCCAAGAAATTGTAGCACTGTAACAGCTTTCCATGCTGTGTAGTGAGAAGTCTAAAATTCTCAGGCTGTTGATTATTTATGTTCCTTGGTGATCAAAGCGTATGCCTTTCCATTCTTCACCTCTGTCAAGAACTGTGAAGGCTCTGAAATCTTACCCTGCTTGTAAGCTGAAATGTTAGCTTGTGGATCCTGGCAGAAGACTCTGTATCAGCCTCCTGGGTTAGCCAAGAACACTCACAGCACTAGTAGTAGTCAAGGTACTGTACTTTTTCTGTACTGTTTTCCCTCGGCTCCAGTTCCCACAGGTTGATGTGATAAGAGCCAGGTGACAACTGTATGAGGAGTTTGTTGCATTTCAGGAGACGACCCTGAACATTCTCTGGGATCTCAGCCTGCTTATTCCTTTATGCATGTATGTTTGTATGTATGTATGTATTTTCTTTGAGACAGAGTCTCACTTTGTTGCCCCAGGTTACAGTGCCATGGCCTCAGCTTAGCTCACATCAACCTTGGACTTCTCCGTTTAAGTGATCCTCTTGCCTCAGCCTGCCAAGTAGCTGGGGCTTTTAGACACTCAGCCACAATGTCTGGCTAATTTATCTAATTTTAGTAGAAACCAGGTCTTACTCTTGCTCAGACTGGTCTCGAACTCCTAAGCCTAACCGATCCTCCTGCCTCAGCCTCCCAGAGTGCTGGGATTACAGGTGTGAGCCACCACACCCAGGCTGCTTGTCTCTCTAATTGCCCTTTCCATTTTGTCCCTGGACTTCTCTCCACAGTACCCTAATGTTGTAGGACTCCATCTCAGAGAGAGGATTTCTTCCATATCACCATCACAGACCTTGTCTTTGCATGTATTGATAAAAAGCTAGCATACCCTGCATTCTGTTCCTCATACCCTTAGATGCTCCAGTGACCCTTTTGGGTTTGCATGGTGGCCGCAGTGTTTTTCTTGTCTATGTACACATTTTCCTCTAGGCATAATTTTGTTTTCTCTGCCATACTGTGCTTGATCAGTGTCTCAGTGTCTCTGTAAACAGTGCCTGTGCCTGCAAAGACTTTTTTGGTTTGTTTCTCCCAGAACCCTTTAGGGCAGTGTATTGGTTAAGAATGTGTTTAGTTGCAAGGAACAGGTAACTAACTCATCCCATAGTAGGTACGATAGATAGAGATTTGTTTCTATTTTGTTTTTTCTTATAAGAAGTCTGAAGATAATTGCTGGGGTTGATTCAGTTTTAATCAACCCTCTTTTGTAAGCTTCTTTAATATGCTGTTTTTACCATCTATAATTTTTTTCTGTATCTGCAATTCCAAATTATAACCATCCTTTAAATTGTAAGGATTTCCGTGGAATCTTTCCTTGACTCTCCAGGTGAAAATACTCTTCCTTTATGTTCTTACAGGCAGTACTAAGTTAGAAAATGTCCTTTATCACTAAGTTATCTATGTATATGTCTGATCTTCCCTAGTAGACTATAAATTCCCTATTTTGTATGTCTTTTGTTACCCCCTGCAAACTGCCTTATTTAAGGTAGATATAGTCAGTGAACTTGAATGAATGAACCTTCCGTTTAAGAAAACCTTGTCCCTGCAGGTTAGAATGTAAGGAAAAGATACATTGGCATGGGTGTGACGATGTGGAGGTATGAGTTTTCATCAGATAATTTAATTTACATCAATTAAATGTACATATTGCTGAAAGGAACACCTTTATTGTATAAACTAATTTTTGAATGCACAAATATTTCTTTAATGCTGTCAAATATATTTTACATACTTTCAAAACATTCTATTAATTACATGTGGAAATAAAATGGGAACTCTTTTCTTTCAGTGTTTAGATGAGTATGAAGATGACGAAGCCGGGCAGAAAGAGCGGAGACGAGAAGATGCAATCACACAACAGAACACAGCGCAGAACGAAGCCGCCAGCTCCCTCGAGCCGGGCACTGCCTGTGTGCTGCAGGTGAGCATTCAAACAGCCAGGAAGTCAAGTCACTAGCTAGTTTACAAATAATTTTTAAGTTATTGTTGATAATTTTTCAGTCTTATTTTGGTAACATCAGCTCTGTTAAGTATTTTCAGTGGATTTGAACACTGATTATCCTTGTATCCAAATACTTTGTGACTTAAGCAGTGATTGGTTCCTAGTTCTTGAGTGGTGAATATTTGCTGACTGATTGAGTAAACACATTTATTTAAACACTATCAACTGTAAAAATAGCCAAGAAAAATAATTATCTTCCTAAATATTAGTAAGTTGAAGTGGGTGGCCAGTTCTCTCTAGGCTGATATTTACATTAGAATTAAATAGCAAATAAAAAATTGAAAAGAAAGTTCCTCTAAAGTTAAACATAATAAAATGCAATGTGTTAATATTATGACTTGCCAGAAATATATGTATTTCTTTGTAATTATAAAACACTTTTAAAAATGAAATTTAACTCAGTTTCAATATAGCTGTTATTTTAGGCTCTTATGCATAGAAAATTTGAAGTTGGTGATATAGGGATGCCTTAGTGTAAAGCAAATCACTCTACCTGCAGGGGTGTCCAACCTTTTTCTTGGGTCACACAGTAAGTAATGAAACTCTAATGAAAGCTGATTAGCAGAAGAAGG